TTTTCTTCACGATTCCGGCAAATATTGAAATTGCACCGCTCTCATCGACATGCATAATTCAACACGACAAATTATAGACCGTCGAATTTCCAATAACGTGTTATCGTACCACGATAAGATTTAAGGAACGCTACCTGTCGTGTTATAACATCAATCGTACTCGAACATTTTTGCTAAATTTCCAAACCCTCCATTATTATTGTCGATTTGTATAATTTTCTCTTCCGTCTGAGACGTGAAGCGAACTCGCACTTTATGACGTTCTAAAACTGGAACTGCATATACCACTGGAGAAAGATTAGTCAGGGATAAAGATAGGATAACGTTGCTACACCTGAGTTTCCTGAATTACACACTTCCTAAATCCGAACGTCCGTGTATATCGCGCGCGTTAAACCCGTAACTTACAAGACAAGTTAACACCACGAACGATGGAAATCACGGAAAGAAGACCGGTGAAAAAACTGTGCTCGCATCGAACTATTGATCCAATCGTTTTCGAGCATTTGTGTACGGATTTCTTCCTTCTTTTCGCCACGTTTGATGATCTAAAATATATGAATTAATATAAATTTTAAAAAGATTTTCGTTTTATTACGTATCGTAGACTTCTAAATCGCAAGTTTAGAATGAATAAGTTTGTCGATTTGGAAAACTTGACTGGCTCAACCAAAGAATCGTGACAAGAAAAGAAAAGATGTAAAATGTGGTTTTAATCTACTATATCTGTCTCTTAGAAATTGTATAATAATTATTCGTAATGAATATTCGAATCTATTAGAGAAAAATATAATATCATACATTTCAAGAATTATCGTCCAAAATCTCTCGTTTCTGGATTTTTCTCAATGCAAAGTAAGCAAATATTTCATTAACGGAAGAATTCCAAATAAAAAAAAGAAAGAAAATAAGACGTTGGAAGAGAATCTAATTTTTGCGAATAACTTTACTTTTTTCTGCTAAACAATGAAGAAAAATGTATCAGTTTAAGAATCCAATAGGAGAAATTTCACATCATTGAAACAAATTTGAAACGACGTAAAATTAATAAAAAAAAAAAAAAAGAAGAAAACGCACATTTAAAAGAATCCAGTCCCGTTGCATACGTTGAGAAAAATTTAAGATACGAATCTTTGAAATTGATTAAAAAAAAAAAAATCCTTGGAAGAATCCAGTTCGAAGATGGATCCTCTAAACCGACGAGACTAAAAATTTTGTATTGTACATCGAAACAAATTTAAAACGATACGACGTAAAATTAATAAAAAAAAGAGGCATTTAAAAGAATCCAATTCCCGCGAATCCCTCGAATCAAAGAATGGAGCCTCTAATCAACTAAAAATCTCATCATACGTTGAGAAAAATTTAAGATACGAATCTTTGGAATTAATTAAAAAAAAAAAAAAATCCTTGGAAGAATCCAGTTCGAAGATGGACCCTCTAAACCGACGAGACTAAAAATTTCGCATCGTGCATCGAAACAAATTTAAAACGATACGACGTAAAATTAATAAAAAAAAAAGAGGCATTTAAAAGAATCCAATCCCTCGAATCGAAGAATGGAGCCTCCTCTAATCTGTTCCGGTAAACAATTTCCGGGCTCGTTCGCTCGTCAACGGGGCGAGAAAACGAGCTCTTTCACCCCCCCCCCCNACCCCCCTCCTCGCAAAAATGGTTGGCGACAAACCGGTGCGGCGGTGTGGAACATCGCGTTTTTCCCCCCGTCGGATATCGTTGAAAACTCGTTGAAAGCTCGACCCGTTGAGAGAACCCTTGCGAGGTACCTTTGCCTCCTCCCTCCCTCTCGTGAAACGAAAAGTGGCTCGCTCGTGAACGCGCGGGAGGAAAACGTGCGAAGAGGGGAGGGGAGGGGAGGGAAACGACACGATCCGTTTCTGCAGACGTCAAAGTTCCTGCCGACTAATTACCACGCCTCTTGCCCCCTCTACCCCCACCCCTCCCTCCTCTCGCAGCCAGACACCCGGTACTAATGCGACGGAGTGGCTCTCGCAGCCCGGGACATCCGTCAAATCTCATTTGCCTTGGCCTCTTACGAGCCGAGGTAGTGTTTCGCCGACGAGCCAGCCGCGTAGAGAGAAGGAGGGCGAAGAGAGTCGTTTAGAGATTCGCAGCCGAGCAACACTCGCCTCGATAAGCGTAAAAATTAGCTTCCGATTAGCTGTTAGACAGGATTAACTATATTGAAGAAACTGGCTTGATGAACGCCTGGCCTCCGCCATTTCTTCCCCCCCGTCATAGGATGGACGAAGTTTCGTGAGTCTGGATCTCGGTTATCGGGAGGAGGAGGAGGAGGAGTGGATGATTGATCGGGGCGCTAAATCGTAGATCGTTGATCCGTTTCGATGGATATTTCTGGTCGATTGGGAATCGACTTCTTTCCAGAGAATAGAAAGGAGAAAGGAGATCTTTCCGAATAATCTCGCATCTTGTTGGGTAAATTATTAGTGTGAGATGGAGGCAAGTTGAAAGAAGATGAATTTTTTTTTTACACGATTCTTCTATCAACGGCGATGTATTTTCTAATAGAAAGATAAAGTTGAGGTGAAAATACTCTAGATTTCAGATCTAGATGGTTTGTAGATTTAATTGAGCTGTCAGTTTCATCAATTCCCTCTAAACGTTTCCTCTTAAAAGATTTTTAATCCCATCTCGGGATTACGGGGTAAATCATCAGGATAAAGTTGGACGATGGAAAGAAAGAAAATCAATCGAGTCGATGAATAAAGAATGAATCTCCCTATACACTTGGACGACCTAAATGTTAAAATGCCGACACTTTCGAGATCAGATATGCTTCGGTTGGCGCTCGAGGCGCAGTAAATAATGATTAATGATCGTTCTGTTGACTCGAGAAAAATTCCACGACGGCCAAACTAAATTATACATACTCGTGAATAATTCTTCTATTCCTTATCTAATATGGATATCCGTAAATGAATATATCGAATATCGAGTGCAATAAATTTGCGAGAATAGAAGATCGATGATGATATTCTAATATTCCTTTTCCTCGAGGCTCCATTTTGTCCGTTGAGGCAGAAAGAGAGGAGAGGTTAGATTGGCCTGTTGGTACTATCGTGTAGAGTTCAAGATTACCAGAGAAAATTTCTCGACAGAGGATTTATTCTTCTTTCCCTTTGCCATCTTCAATGATCCTATCATTGGCATCATTATCACAGTCGACTTTCTGCCTTCTCAAATCTTCTCAAATCTTGGAGAAATTTCTCCATTTCATCCAGATCCTCGCGAATTTTGAACATTGAATCCATCAAAGAAATTCAATTTAACGAGTGATTTTTCCTCTTCCTTTTACCATTTTCATGACACCATTATCTCATACGTGCCAAGTACACCTCTAACGATAAACACGTCTCTACACGTCTAACGATAAACAATGACCTCACCACACTGAGTCATAAATCAATAATATTCGATTCTCTGTTTTCCCATTATCTTCTTCTCGAGTCTCTTAAATCTCTCGAATCTAACAACATTGTTTGTTTGGCTTTCTTCTCGTCGCTGCCTCGCAAATGTGATTTTATTCGTGCTCGATAATTACGTTATTCTTACACGAATCAACCATTAGATTATTAATTTATTAAATTTTTTCCTTCGAACACGTTGCAATCGATACTCTCAAAAAATGTCTACGTCTGTGTCTTGATTAGGATTATAGATCAGAGAGGTTTGCACGCAAACCGACGTGATTGAACGAGGCAGGAATTTATTAAGCTCGAAACTATTTCTATCGTCCATGTTTTCTCTAATGATCTTAATTTCGATAAAATTCGCGCTACGAAAAGCTTTGAAAGCACCTAGAATATTTCGACACGTATCTTTACACGAATCTTTCTACTCAAGACTCTGGGAGAGCATTAAGGTGAATTACTCGGTTCAATCAGCCATTTTCTGGTATATTGCGATTTCGCGATGGATAATAAAAGGATGGAGAGGCTACGTATTCATCGTGTTCCGACCACGTGTACCGACAAGATGCTTAATCTTTGCTTCGTTTCTACCATCCAAACGGTTTCCATCGACTACTCTTTTAGGGAAGTTAAATATCCGAAATATAATTTTCCTCTATGATACTCATTAACGCTCAAAAGTAGTGCGATTAGTTGCCTATTTCTTTTTTGTTTTTAGAGAGGACGTATTTTAGTGGCAAAATTGTGAAAAGATGGATATTATGGAGAGTAGAATATTTTTAGTATATATATTAGCTTTATTATTCTAATTGAATAATCAGAGATTCCTTGGTAAATTTTCGATTAACTTTCGTATATCTGTTATCCCGTTATATATATTTTAAGTATCTCTAAAAAAAAAAATGGATTCGAAATATATTCAATTTATATTAATTTTCTTCAATCTCTAAAATACCCACCTACCCTCTCGTCAACGCATTTTCGTTTATCATCTGGCTAACACGTGCAATTATTTAATCGATACGCGTGTTTAATCGAGTTTCGAGATATGAGCCGCGAACCATCTTTTTTTTTTCTTTTTTAACGTCCCGGGAATGCAAATGCGATAAATTATACCGCAATCTTGGATGTCTCGCGTAATTCACGGAGACTGTATCGTCCGGTGTAATTATTAAAGCACAGGCTTGCCAGAGAAATATAATGTACCTACTCTATCTCGTCTAACGCGATCTTCCTCGTAATATCTTCTCGGTAAAATTGAGGAAAAATTGTCGGATCCGATCCGAGTCGAGGAGAGTCGGCTCTTCGAATTGAGGATCGAGGTGAAGAATCTTTTCCGCGAGAGAGAAAGAATTCATTCATTTCAGAAGAAGAAGAAACGCATCGAACAATTGCGTTTCTCTGATCCGTGACAATTTTTCCGTTTAAATTTCAAACTCGCAAATATAATATATCCCAGTACCAATATTTTTCTTTTGTTCTTCGATTTCCTTAGAATATCCAAAGATAAATATTAAATAGTTTAGTATAAAATATAATCGTTAATCATACCTTGTCGTTTCGATCAAATGTGTGCAGGGGATCTGAAACAAAAATAGATATATAATACTTATGATTTGAAGAAAATAAATTTGAAAGTATATTTCTGTCTATTATCTAATCTTTGCAATATTTAAATCGTTCCTTTTGATACGCGATATAAATTAATATTTATCAGTTAAATTAAGTCTTAAGCTAAAATTAAGCGCCATTTTCCAGCAAAAATATATATCCCCGCAAAGGTTAAATGGAGAGAGGAAAGAAAAAGGATTAATTTTGTTTGTACCTCAGTTTATCGCGCCCGTTGACAAAGGCAAAGAACGAAGAGAAAATCCGGGCAAACCAAACTTTTTAAACGGATATAATATTTTCGAAAGAGAAATATCCTCTCAGAGGGTGGGCTGAAGGGGCCCGAGGGGGGTGGTCGTGGCGTAATTATCCCCCATTAAAACTTGGCGAAGAAACAATTTCCAGCCTTCCTTCTTCCCTCGTCTCGACTCCCGGACAATTCTTTATCGCGTAAAAACCGACGCGCGTTTCCAAGAACGACCGACAAAACGAACGAAAAATAAGTCGGACGGTAATTGCTTTTTACAAAAACTTTAACAACTTCCGCGCTCGCACAAGTTGGTAGCCGGGTTAATCTACAGGATACCTGGGGATGGACCGAAAAATGCCCGAAAAATGCCCGAAAAATGCTGGAAAAATTTCGAAAATCGGTTTCGAAGGGAAGAGTGCCGCAAAATTCTGCCGGTTTTGCTCCAACTCGAATCAATAATCGAGATATAGGCGGCTCGTGAAATTGTGCCATGCTCGAATCTCGTGTAAGATTTGGCGTAATTTCGCGATGCGTGGCCGTCGTGTTTGACCGAAAATACGAGTTTGGTTGTTGCCAAACCGTTTCAACGCGGCGAATTATACGCGATAGCCGGTTTAAATAATTGAGGAGGAAGTCGGTGGTGGATGGCACAGGCGTAATTCTAAAAGTGAAATATTTAGGTCCCTGTAAAAGGGGAGCAATTTTGAGTGAGTGTCGTCAAAGGATCCGTGTCCGGTGTATCGATTTCAATTAAATTCGGGGGAAGTGTTTTTATTTTTACGCGAAATTGATTTTCCACTTTTTGTCGCTCCACTTTTCCACTGGATTATTTGCTTTTCCTCTTCTATTTTAAACTTATGTATTTTATTTTGAATATACGGATTTTTTTTCCCTTTTTTTTTTAATTCACGAAAGAATTTTTCAATTGACGTAGAATTAAAGTTAAATTTTTCAAGTATGTTAAAAAGAAGTGTTTGAGATGTTATTTTTCTTCTCCTGGATAAAGATTCATTGAATAAAATAATCTTTTTTATAATTTCAATCAGGAACGTTCGCCGTAAATTATTGTCGAGTATATTCGGAATAGAATTGTGTTGTGTGTGGGGTAAAGTTCGGTAAACCGGTTTACCAACTTTACTTCCGCACATGTATCCAATAAAAAAATTTTTAGTTCCACTTTTATTTTTATCCAGTACACGAAATAGTTTCCCGTGTTTTATAGCTTTCACATCCCTTCGCGGATGAATAATTATGCATTTCGAGCCTCATAAAACTCGTGGAAACACATTCCATAAAAAATTCCTCGTTGTCAAATGGATTCAAAATTAGGATTCACTTTACACCATTTTAATTACAATATTGAAAATGAAATATATTGATAAGAAATAAAATATGAGTTTCTAAAAGTAGAGACGAATATCAAAGATATTTGTGTTGTTAAAAAAAAAAGAAAAAGACCAGAAGAAAGAGAATATTTTAATTGAAAATATTAAATGAAATTTAAATTATTAGGAAAAGAAATATTTGAACAGCCACGAAGAAATAAGAATTTTTTCCAAAAATATTGAAATAGAAAAGACTAAAATAAATATTAAAAGAAACAATTGCTCTAATGAAGGAAAAATTCGATGTTATAATTTCAAAATCGTAGAATTTTTTTTAAAAAAATCATTTTTATCAATAAATCGGCAAATCGAAGAACAATACTGTCATTCTTCAAAAATTGTATTAATATCAATTGAATGTATAACAAAAATGATAAGGTTGAAAATAAAAAAGAATAAAATCTCAAATATTTGATGCTTTGTTACAATTTAAAAACGTGATATTCAGGAGAACCAATACAATAACACGATTTACAAGAGAATCGATCTTCCGTAATTAATTCAAGGAATTAAAACTCTCTTATTTTCTTGAATTGAAACAAGCTTAATGGATCCAACCAGTTTCTTCTTAGTTTTCTCTCTCTCTCTTTCCCTGTTTCTTTCTTTCTTTCTCTTGATAACTGATCCGTCGCACTTGGAAATACACAACGGAACAACGGCACAGACGGATACTGTTATCGCAAACAGAGTGCAGTGAACACGACCCCCTTTTGTTCACACGATTCTGCACTGCTTTGGAACAATGACATCTCAAAGGAGCTTGGCGCCGGACAGTTTGTGAACTGCAATATCGCAAATGACGATGTATACGGAAGCGAAAGAGTCACGATATCACCAGCACAGTTACGGAAGCTAGGCAACGTCTCGTCTCGAGTGAGAACAGTTGTGTAAACACCGCGAAAGAAACGTATGCTCGGCTCGTCTCTCGAAAAAATCCTTCTGTAGCAGAATTTTAAATTTTCTGTGATAAAATTATCTTTGAAATTGAAAACGTTTAAAATGAATTTACGTTTCTTACATTAAAAATATGGCAAATTGAAATTTTCGTGTAAAAGAAAAAAAAACGCGAGAAGAAATTATGTTTTCCAAAATTCAATCGTTTCTCGAAATAATTTCGAAAAATATTCGTAGAAAGAGGATCGAACAGGCACGAAGTGCGACGCTATTCTCATGCACGAGGGTGCGAGGGCAAGCAGCCTCGATCACACCTCGATCAACCTTAATAAGCGCCATTATCAAGGCAACCTCACGAAATTCGAAATCCATATTCCACAAACTCTGGATACGATTCAACAAGATCGATCCAACGATCGGTGAAACGTGACGCAGACACTGTCGAATTAATTAAACGCGATATTATCTCCGGATCTTATCGTCCGGATTCGCATTTCGTACTCTAAAGGTACAAAGAGTCGTTTCAACGTTACATTATCAATTTTCAACTAACGACATCAGAATGTAGTTCAACTTAACTGCAATTTCTAGAAAGCATAGATCGTTATCAAAGGAAAAGGGGAAAAAATTATAGTCACTCGAGCAAGTTGCGAATTACACTCTCTTTCATATATTACGTCGAGAGGATTCTTCAACAATTCAACGACTTTTTTTTCTTTTCGAATCGTCTTCCTTCATTCATTTTACAACTTAATGCAAAACGAACTTAATTGCAATTCCTAGAAAGCATAGATCGTTATCAAAGGAAAAAGGGAAAAAATTATAGTCACTCGAGCAAGTTACAAATTACACCCTCCTTCATTTATTGAAGAGGATTCTTCAACAATTCAACGATTTCTTTTTCTCTTCGAATCGTCTTCCTTCATTCATTTTACAACTTAATGCAAAAGGAACTTAACTACAATTCCTAGAAAGCATAAATCGTTATCAAAAGAAGGGAAAAAGGGAAAAAAATTATAATCACTCGAGGAAGTTGCGAATTACATCCTCTTTCACATATCGAGAGGACTAACAAAACGACTCCTTTCTTTTTTCCGAATCATCTTCCTTCGTTCATTTTACATATTTCCAATCCTATCTATTCTCCTCTCGACGATGTTAACGCTGTCGATATAAAGGGAGGAAAAAAAAAAACGTTCTAGGAACATTTATAACCCGTACCTCTATCTATTTATCAAGGGAGCAAACCCCTTTCACCCCTTTTTCACGGCCATCGCGTCTACCAATATGATTTATACGGAAGTCGTAGCCCTCCCCCATAAGGGAGGAAACGACGGAGCGCTCGAATTGGCTGAAAAGTAAGCGGCAACCGGGTCTGCACCCATTGTTTTCCACGACGTGTTAACATCCTCGATCCTGCTGTTTGCCCGTTCGTGCTTCGTTAACGACGATCGGCCCTCTTCCTCCACTTCACACCCCCGCAATTTAATGGCAATTCGAGATCTTCGATTCTTTCTCTCTCTCTCTCTCTCTCTGTCTCGCCCCCCTTTTCCTCGTTTATTCGTTGATTTATTTAAGCGAGCTCGAGCGCCGTGTTCCTTCCTGGTGGGAACAAGGCGGACGCGACGCCACGATTATTGTTATCAATTGCTCCACGATCGTTCGACAGAGGAGTTCGACAGAGAGAAAGAAATATCGCGCGCGTTTTATCGAGGGATCGCATTGAATCGCCGATCAAGGCGATTGTCAAAGCGACGAGAAGAGCTTCAAGAGAGGGATGAGGGATGATATCGTTCGTATGCATCCTATTAGGAAATCGTGTATACTTGATTCGATTTAAAAGGATTTAAGTATTTCTAATTTTGAAGATCGAATTAACAACGATGCGAATGAGTTGTATTTCGATTCTAGGGCGCATTTTATGAATTTTTCCAAAAAATGTGAAAGAGAGTGTCGTCTACAGCTTTGGATTTATTTTCCTCTATCTATCGAAAATCAATCTTCAAACCAAGTTCTTGGTGAGATCAAGTTTTCACGTCGAATAAAAAAAAAATTTGTGTAATTTGTGCGTAATGCACAATTTGGAATGAAGATTTCTTCAAAAGCGAATTTTTTCGCAACGGATTGTGACTGAAAATTTTGAAAGAATATTTCGGAGTAGATTTGAATTGATGAAAGAGTCGGAATTTCCGTTGAAAAGGGAGAAACAATTTTTTCTCAATGCTGAATTTTGCACATTACGCGTGCAAAAGTTTTCCCAAGCCCGACATTTCTGATTCTGAATCTTTGAAAAGATACAGACAAAGTTTTGCACTTTTTAAAGTGTAAAAATCATCGTGTTAATATCGCCTTATAGCTTTCAGCTTCCCCAAAGGGGTCGCCTTAACCCATAGATTCTTTCATATCGCGGTGAATAAATCTCATTTTTCAATTAAAGGTCCATGAA